GACCCCTAGTTTACTACTAACGAAATGAGACAATAACAATTACGGATTAAAGTCACGAATCTAACAATTAAACTATGAATATTCAATGTAGCTGGCCAAACTAAATCAAACACCATAATTCATAAAAATTTAACATAGATAACATGAATTAACTCATCAACAAAATAAATAGGGCTTCTAAATTAATCAACGATAAACAAAGATCGTAGACAAATCGAAATTAGGGTTCAAACATCCCTTCAAACTGGATAAAAAAACTAGCCTAACATATTAATAAAAATAAATGCTGAGTAAATGATAAAAGAGAGAGAATAAAATTCTCTCTCGTGTGCGGGTACAACTTCCCTCCGCTTATGTGATCTTCTCTCTCGGTCCGTACTTTCTTTCTTCCCGTGCGATTTTCTGTCTGTCTATCCCCTTTCTTTTTCTTCCCTGAAAATAATGTTGCTGTTCTGGTGTGTTTTTTCTCGCACAACTAAGTACCCCTCAATCCAATTAAATCCTCCAAAAAGAGTCCAATGTCAACTTGTCCTCTTACCATTCAAAGTCAGCCATTTGCGTGTGTGTTACCAGGGAAATCTAATTAAAATCTTGGCCCAATTATTTAATAGATCTTGAGCTAATATACTTGATAAACTCTGCAAATTGGGCCTCAATTTAATGCTAATACGTGGGCCAAATTAATGGGTATTGGACGCCTTGATAATTGATTATGTGAAGTCCATTTGATAATTGATTACGTGAAGTCCGTCCAATGTATCAAATCCACAAGAGACACAAAATTATTGAAAATGACATATACAAACACCAAAGCAAATAAATCCATTCAAATAATAAATTGGTCAAGAAATACACACGTGAAATTAAATTACGCGTATATAAATACACTATTAAACATATAAAACCTGCACATTTTTTGACCTATCAAATCTCCCCAAACTTAAAATGTTGTTTGTCCCCAAGCAACTTCGAACTATAAGCACATAGATGAATGTAAACAAATAAGTGGAATATTACTCAGAGCATTACAAATTCACACATAAGTACATAGTTCAAACAACTCAAATCAATTAATTCAGACTCAATATGAAATCATTCTAAGAAAGCAAACAATCCAAGTATCAATTCAATTGATCATCATAGTTCGTCAATCTCTAACAAATGTATCGATCAATGCAACAAATGTATCGATCAATGCAACTAATGACACCTTTCTCTTTGCTAACTAGTTCAGCTTCTTTTCGCTTCTAGCTGAAATTTACATGTCTCGTTCTCCTCTTTTTTTTTTCTTTCTTTTTCATCTTTTTTTTTTTGTGTGGAGTAGGGACGACAGCTCCGTCACAACCTCAGAGTTTTAGCCTTTCGTGATTGTCTAAACTACAAGAATTATTGGATTTATACACTAGAGCCTCCACTGATTGGCAGCTGTTGCAGCGCATAACTTTTTTTTTTTTCTTTTGGCTAACAACTTTTCAACTTCACCAATTATTTTTTTCCTCTTTCCACATTATTCTATTATTTTCGACTACGAGACGTCAAACACTAACTTTCAACATCAAGTCACCAAATATAGCCATCATTGTTCAAGACAATCACAAGCACATCTCAACAACACAATTTGAGTCAAAATCAACTCACCATAAATAAATCACAAAAAAATATCAACTCTCATTCTTTTGATCCCAAAACAAAAACAACTTAAGATATTTAACCAAATATAATCAACTCAAGTAATTTAAACTAGCACAAAATAACCGTACAGACCCTCATGTCATCACAGCAAAATTCCATATACAAGTAAACTCATACCCAAACAAATCAAGAGAATATATAATGTAGCATATAAACCTCTCATACTAACACATCTCCCCAAACTTAGCATTTGCATATAAGAGAACAAAATAAAAGGTAAAAGGAATGAGTTCACCTTATCAAAGAGAGGAAGTCGCGGCCGTCGCACACCATTGGGTTGCCTCCCAACAAGCGTCTTTTGTTATTGTCGTTGGCTCGACTTATTGCTCCACTTTCTTCAAGCGGTCCATGGCGGCTTCGGTGGTGGCCTCAAAGGAGGCACGAACCTTGCAGCTCCATGCTTATGAACGATCCCCTCGTCTGGTGTCAGGTGCTTAACCAGATCTTTTCTTCTTGGCGGTAGATCGTGATGGCAAAAGACTAGCCCGGGATCATGGATAAGAGGAAAAATCTCAAGCACTTCAAGGATGTAAGGCTCTTATTTTCAACGCGATCGGCTGCTGGTTGTTTGAACTCGGATAGAAGAGATTGATTTTCAATCATGCTCGGGCTAATTGATGGAGCTGTTACGTCATTTTCACTTTCAGGCGGGCTGTTATCGGGGTCCCCGATAGCAGTAGAAAATGCTACTAGGTTTTTATCAGGGGGCGATAGCAGTGAAAATTTGCTCCATCTCGCCTCCTTCTTCATTCTCTTCGTCACTCAGATCATCATTCGGCTCAAAAATATGCTTTCCAGCACCTCGGACTCCATCTCTCTGCTCAGCCCAAGGTCTCCAACATCACTTTGGCTCGATTCGGCTTGAGATAATAGCCGATTCTTGGCTCGGGAATCCAATTCGATCAATACATCACAAATCTTTTGCTACTAGCCATCAAATAATTTTGACACTCCTTAAATAAGTTCAACAAAGATGGACTAGCCTCTTGTTCAAGCGAAGGTTCTGAAAAATATTGCGAGCCTCCACGTTGGAATTGAAATTAGTCATGCTCATAAGTAGGCTCATAAGATCGAGAATATTGTGGATTTTCATGGAATAAATTTCCAAGATCTCCCCCGTAATGGTCCCTATCGAAATTCTAGTACGCCCAATCGTCTTGCCAATACCAATCTCTCTCGGTAGCTTTACGTGCACCTTATATCTCGAGCAAAAATGGACAATCATCGGTGACGTGTCGTGTGGTATGACATAGACGACATGGTCTTTCTAAAGCTTGACGAACACTCTCAATGGCTCCTTGGAGCATAGCCGACATCCTAGCCTCAGTATGTTGGTCCCTTATTTCCATGCTTCTCATTTCATAATACGGAAATCGTACGCATAAGCACAATTCGGGCTCCAATACGCATCCATTTATAACAAATACCATATGCAAAAGGAAAATAAAAATAGGGGGATTAAGAGTGTAAAAAAAAAATAAAATAAAATAAATACTAATCTAATTACCTAAGTCAGTTAACACTAAAAAAATCACAACTCATTGCACCACTCCCCGGCAATGGCGCCAAAATTTGACCGCGCGCCGCGACGCGACAAATTAAAATTTATTATAAGTTTTCCTCGGTTAACCTCTATTAACTAGTAGTAGCGATGAGTAAGGGTCAATTTCACGAGGAGCAGGAATTAAATTGTGACAATCTCGTATTAATTGAACTAAACAAGAAAGCAAAAAATAGGGGAATTGTTTTATAAACTAAAAATAAAAATAAAAATAAAATAGAGATTGAATAAAATAAGAGAAATCCAGTTTTCGGTTCAGTTATTACCCAATCTAAACCCATAGTTAATCAATTTCGACGCCTTCTTTAAAATTCTAATGAATTACCAATCCTATCTAACAACAAGCTCTGTTAAACGAATTTTTCCTTACCGATTATTAAATCGAAATAGGCTCTTCGACTAAACCTAACCAGTGGACAACCTAGAATAAACTTTCTAGATTTAATCCACCTCGCAACATTAATTTCTAGGAAAATAGATCAGTCTAAGCAATGGACGCAAAAGCTCAGACCATTTAACTTATGTTCACGCTACACTAGAGATGCACGACCCGTAGGTTACTACTAAGAAAACGATACAATAACAATTACGGATTAAAGTCCCGAATCGAGCAATTAAACTATGAATATACAACGTAGTTGACCAAACTAAATCAAACACCATAATTCATAAACATTGAACATAGATAACATGAATCAACTCATCAACAAAATAAATACGGCGTCTAGATTAATCAACGATAAACAAAGATCATCCAATTCATAGACAAATCGAAATTATGGTTCAAACATCCCCTCAAACTGGATAAAAAACTACCATAACATATTAATAAACAATAAATACTGAATAAAAGATAAAAGAGAGAGAATAAAATTCTCCCTTGTGTGCGTGTGCGACTTCCCTCCACTTATGTGATCTTCTCTCTCGGTCCGTACGTTCTTTCTTCCTGTGCGGCTTTCTATCTATCTATCCCCTTTCTTTTTCTTCCGTGAAAATAATGTTGATGTTCTGGTGTATTTTTTCTCGCACAAGTAAGTACCCTTCAAGCTAATTAAATCCTCCAAAAAGTGTCCAATGTCAACTTGTCCTCTTACCATTCTTTTTTTTTTTTTTTTTTTTTT